CCTTCCATATCTACCTTGAAACAGGATGATGACTAAAGAGCTAGTGCAAATTCCACTGCTTTAGAAATGGTCAACAAACCACACGGAGATGCTGTGTTTTTTGGTGGATCTTTGTTGGAAAGGATCCCAATCAATGTTTGGTCCCCAGAGTGTACTGACTTTCATTGTAAGTAAATACAGTATTACTCATCATGCTGGAATTAAAAAAACAATGAACATCTGTACCTAATGGGTGGATTTGCTCAGACTATCTGAGCCCAACTAAGGAGTGTCCCTCGGCCCTGTTACCAGAACCAGTGACTCCCATTGAAGAGTGACTGCTTTCTGGACTCAAAATTAATGAGGATTCTATGAAGCCATCATCACCCTGATGCCAAAGCCAGACAAAGACACTGCCAAAAAAGAAAACTACAGGCCAATATCATTGATGAACATAGATGCAAAAATCCTCAACAAAAATACCAGCAAACAGAATCCAATAATACATAAAAAAGATTATACACCATGACCAAGTTGCATTCATCCCAGGGACACAGGGATGGTTCAATACACATAAATCAATCAATGTGATACACAACATCAACAAGAGAAAGGACAAAAATCACATGACCATCTCAATAGATGCAGAAAAAGCATTTCATAAAATTCAACACTGATTACGATAAAAACTCTAACCAAAGGGGGTATAGAGGAAACATATCTCAATATAATAAAAGCTATTTATGACAAATCTACAGCCAGCGTAATACTCAATGATGAAAAGCTGAACGCTTTTCTGCTAAAATCCAGAACAAAACAATGATGTCCACTCTCACCACTTCTATTCAATATAGTCTTAGAAATCCTAGCCAGAGAAATTAGACAAGAAAAAGAAATAAAAGGGATCCAGATTGGAAGAGAAGGGGTAAAATTGTCACTATACGCAGATGACATAATACTAGACATAAAAAACCCTACAGGCTCCATACAAAAACTAATAAAAGAATTCAGCAACGTAGCAGGATACACAATTAACATACAGGAATCAGTTACATTTCTTTACACTAACAATGAAATATCAGAAAAGGAAAGTAAAGAAACATCTTTTAAAACTGCATCCAAAAAAATAAAGTATTTAGGAATAAATCTGACCAAGGAAGTGAAAGACATATGTGTAGAACCACAAAACATTGACTAAGGAAATTAAGATGACTTAAAGAAATGGAATGATATCCCATGTTCTTGGATCGGAAGAATTAATATTGTTAAAATGGCCATACTATCCAAAGCCACCTACAGATTTAATGGGATCCCTAAGAAATTACCTATGACATTTTTCACAGAATTAGAACAAATAATCCTAAAATTTATATGGAAACACAAAAGACCCAGAATTGCCAAAGCATTACTGAAGAAAAAGAATGAAGCTGGAGGAATAACTCCCCCAGACATCAGACAATACTACAGAGCTACAGTCATCAAAACAGCATGGTATTGTTACAAAAACAGACATATGGATCAATGGAATAGAATAAAGAGCCCAGAAATAAGCCTACAGATTTTTGGTCAATTAATCTTTAATAAAAGAGGAAAGAATATATAATGGAGTAAAGACAGTCTCTTCAGCAAATGATGCTGGAAAAACTTGACAGCTGCATGTAAATCAATGAAGGTAGATGACTCCCTCACACCATATACAAAAATAAATTCAAAATGGCTTAAAGACAAACATAAGACAAGACGTTATAAACTTCTCAGAAGAAAACATAGGCAAAACATTCTCTGACATAAATCTTAGCAATGTTCTCACAGGGCAGTCTACCCAGGCAATAGAAATAAAAGCAAAATAAGCAAATAAGACCTAATTAAATTTATAAGCAAAGGAAACCATCAGCAAAACAAAACGACAACTTAGGAAGAGGAGAAAATACTTGCAAAAAATGAGACTGACAAGGGGTTAATGTCCAAAATATACAAACAGTTCATTAACTTAATAATTAAAAACCAAACAACCCAATCCGAAAATGGGCAGAAGACTTAAGCAATTCTCTGATGAAGACATGCAAATGGCCAAAAGGCACATGAAAATATGCTCAGTATCACAAATTATCAGAGAAATGCAAATCAAAATGACAATGAGGTATCACCTCACACCAGTCAAAATGGCCATCCTTAAAAATTCCACAAATGATAAATGCTGGAGAGGCTGTGGAGAAAAGGGAACCCTCCTACACTGCTGGTGGGAATGCAGTTTGATGTAGCCATCATGGAAAACAGTATGGAGATTCCTCAAAAAACTAAAAATAGACTTACACTATGATCCAGCAATCCCATTCCTGGACATATGTCCAGAGAGAACCTTAATTCAAAAAGATACATGC